TGTAATTAATAAAAACTAATGGTATAAGAGAAAGAAATTTTAAACAGCTGTTGAAAATAATAACAACATGAGAACAAAATGTGATACAATGAGAGAAAACCATGTTTAGACATGAAGTTCACGAGATTCTGTGTCTTTTAGACGTAGTATATGGTAAATCTAATTTAATGTTGATGTAACAGCTCCATCCACGATCGCAAGAAAAAGAATCGTGCATTTGCTCACGCGCAGTCCAAGGACGCTCACGCGACGCCGCAGCTCTGTTATTACTGTACTGAAAAGCTTATTAAAATAATGGTCAGATAGCTTCAATGGAATTATTAGAGATTACAATGAGATATGCCGACATTCCTGTTCACAGAGGCAGGTGCGAGTGAATTCCAGCCGAAAGCGGGAGCGGATCATTTATGGAAATTCTCTTCGTATGTGTAAGCGTATAACAATAATAATAGTGTAGTTGTACTTAATATTTAACAGAGATTTATTTACTGAGTATATTACTATCATTATTTTGAGTAATTAACTTGTGTCCTTGAAAATAATTATTATAAATATGAAAGTAAATTTATTGCTTCGTGGTGCTTCAGTGGCTTAATCAATTGTAACTTAGTATTTGGAATAGAAGGGCACAGGCTATTTTTCATTCGGTCGACCAATATTATTTCAGCTACACAGACGAAAATGCGAGTAAAAGCTAGTTTTTTAACTGACTTCAAAAAGAAAGAGGTTCTCAATTTACTTGCATTTTCTTTTATGTTTGTAACCTCATAACTCTGTAAATTTTTTTTTTACAACACAGGGGGCAAACGAACATGCGGCTCACCTGATGGTAAGTGACTACCGCCGCCCATGGTCACCCATAACACCTACGGCATTGCAGGTGTGTTACCGGCCTTTTAAAAAGGAATATGCTCTTTTCTTGAAGGTTATGTTAATTATAAACCGATTTGGATTTTGTTAAAATCGGCTCAGTAGTTTTATTTTTAAACAAAAATGACTTGTGTTGCCACAATTGAAGAAGGTTTTCTTCGTGGAAAACATTTTCATTATTTCATAACTAAATATGAACACACATGTATGAAACGCCATCAAAAGTTTTACGTCAATGAATTTGATGGTTATATAGTATTAATTATAGCGTATATCCTACTTTTCCTCGCTCGTTCTCTCGTCTTATATCAGTTTCTATTAAACACGCTTTTTAAATTGAAACTCGAATTACCATAATATTCTATTATAAAAATTGTATTAATAGCACCATAGATATCAAAGATTAGATAATTTTATTAAAAAAATTAACATAAAATAATGGGGTTTTAGCAAGTATGTGAGTATGAGGCAAGTATATAGTATCTTTATTAGCTTCAAGACATCGCATTGCATAATTTACTGTTTTTAAGTGACGAATTTACTTGCGTTTAGGTGAAATTTAATTATTTACCTAATATATATATAAAAGATATAAAGGATAAAAGAAGATACTTGTATATTGGAAGAAGAAGCATGAAATTGTTAAATCAGTTTGTGACTATGGAATGGAACCAGATCGAAAAGGGCGCGATGACCTTAGATAAGTTTAGATAAAAATAGATTTATTTAACATTAACGATAGAATTTATTTATTATCTTCTTTTAAAACCATTATTAGTACTCTAAATTCAATGTGAAATGGTGATTCCATCAAGCTGACGGCTCACCTGATGAAAAGTGGTAACCGTGGCCTATAGATATGATCAGTACCATGGACATAACAGTGTATACTGTTTCGCCCATGATACCCCCCATGCGTTGCTATTCCTGAGGACTCAGGTGTTATTCCTCTGTACCCTGTAAATTCACTGTCATATCCCACCATTCAAACCGAAACACAGTCATGCAAACAACTGCTTCACAGTAAAAACACGAATAGGACAGAGGTGCCTAAGCAAACGATCTTTGTACAAAGTCTCCCTCTGGTAGATTTAGAACTAAGTAGATATTACTGATCTCTTCTATACCTATCTAATAATTTTATCATTACTTGATAAAACTGCTGGACGTATCAATAAATCAATATCTGCGCGTATTATCTTTGATGTAGATAAGCCGTATTATACGATGGCAACACAAAGAGACGTGCTTAACCACATTATGTACTGGCTGTAAACTATTCGTATCAGATTACTTTGGAATAAAAGGAGCGTAAATATACACCCCGATAAACAAGCGGCACGAAATTGAGGTAGTTGCGACGAACGTAACAAACTTGGAATAATTGAAATGCCAAAACACACTTCAGACTGCCGTATGTAGTTTGTATGATGACTTCTCAATTACTAGGCGATAATAATAATACTTTTGAAATAAAAAAAAAAAAACTTTTTACATTTTTAATTTTTAGACAATTTTAAATGGAACAACACGTAAAAGAATCTGTAGATCGTATCCTATCTTTGTCTGAATAATGATATTAAATTTGAAGATTCTAAAGGATTTCTTATGGATCTTATGGGTTATATCGATCTTTATTTTGAATATTTATTTCTCAAATATTTTTAGTGCAAAAAAATGGTATAATTGAGTATGTTTGAAAAGATTTATCATTTACGTATTTGTCATAACTATCGACCTTGGTTTTGATCTTGAAAGAACTAACTCGGAAAATTATAATTTTATTTAATTATATATTATTTTTAAAGCAAATAATAAAAAAGTACTAAATGTCTATTTGTACAATACTTAGAAGTAATTATATAAAAGAAAAGAAAAAAGAAAAACAATAAAATCAACGTACCGCGTCTTAATAATGTATAAAACAAAACGAACAATATATTATCTGCGAACGATTACAAAACAGATAAATATCCATTACGGCTAAACAGTTTTCTAAAAGTGTTAATCATTGAGAGCGTGACTTTCATCTAATATTTGGTTGGTAAAAGTTCATTAGCCGTTGCATAAAGAACAATGGACGTTGAGTTACATTCGACGATTCTTTGATTAGACATTGAACACCTACGCTGTCGACAGGGAAAGCGATCAGATGATATAAGATAATCGAATCTCGGACCACTGTGTTACGTACTACCAGATCATTTATCTCCATAGATGTTATACTTGATTGTATTGTAACAGGGGGAATTTATCGCGGTGGCTTCGAACTTTTGAAACCTGATGATGTAGTAATACTAATTAATATTCGTGTTTTGAATATGTATTAAAATAAAAAGGTTGCCGGTATTTCAACAATATTGTAGAACTTGTGGGACTAGATCAAGTTTATTTTACTAGGACATTTTAATAAATGTCTAAGTTAAATCTCATTTTATGACGTAAATCTTTATAAGCATTAGTATATAGGTATTAATCATATTCAATGCTAATAATTTAACTGTTATGACGAAAGACTAGTAAAACTAATTACATTTAATATTAAGTTTTTAAGGTAAATTTCATAAATATTTGCAGATTTTGTCACAATCAGGAACGCCGCAGCACTTAATTTGTGGCTGTAGCGTAATTTGTATCGCTATAAAAACATTTTAAAATTCTTATCATTGATAGGAATTAGTAGCGAACTTTAAAAATGGGGCTAGCACAAAAGATTATGGAAAAGTCGCAATGTCACAAGTTTTTCTACCTGAAAAAGCACATCTTTCAAGAATAATAAATAGTAATAAAATGAAATCATATCGTAGATAAACTAAACAGTTAATATATATTAAGTAAATATTACGTTAATACATTATACTGATATCAAGACATCTTATATCAACAATTACTAAAACATGACATCACGCCACCTAACTTTTGTATTCGTAAATTCACCGACATTTAATTGGGTCTTAAACATTGTTCGAATTTTAAAATATCTCAAATTAGATGTAAATAGTACAATCGTGAAAGTGCAAACAATACAGTCGAGATCGTCACGTGTGATAGTTAAAACACTTAAGAAAAAGCCTTGGTACATGTCGACATCGAGGATGATTCTCGCAACTCCGTTCTGGAGCACAAACACAACACGCAACAACAATAACCGTTGGCCAATCAACTCGATGAGGACACCCAAGTCATTAATCAAACGCATAATTGTAAATCTTCTTTTTGTCGTTCGAGTGCATGACTTAATACCATCTAAAGACCATAAGGTCTCTTATATTGAAATAAGTCTTAAATTATCTTTCAAGGTTATCAATAATGACGTTTTAAAGAGGATTATACCACGATACAAAAACGCAAATAAGAATTACATTAGGATTGTAAATTATTATGAAATAGTTTTACCAACAGTTACAATAACGTTAAAAATAAAGAATGTTTACGTAATTAGTGGTGCAGTACTCTTTGTAAAGAAAATAGTTGTTTATATTCTATTAAGACATTAATTTACAAATATGTAATATTCATTACAGGCAAATCGAATAAGCATGTAACTAGGTAAGTAGATGTAAACATAAATCTTAATTTGCGCTATCGAATATGTATACAATTTACAACAAATTGAGGATTTCTTTGGTAAAAGTTACAAGGCCAAAGGCCAGCTTTATAAATGTAAATGAGGATAAGTTGCATATCCATATAAGAGCCATAGGTGGCGAAAAATATAAATATTCAAGGTATTGCCAAACATAGTTCCAAATGGAGCCTTGCAGAACCACTGGCAGATGACATGTTACTTTCTCTCAAACGAACCGAACTCTCCAACCCGGACGTGCGGCTTTTTGCATTGTTTTTGTTAATGCGATATTATTATTATCGTTGTATGAGATTGAAAGTTAATGTACTATACTCGGTCGTGAAAAATCGAAAGCAAATTGGGCAGTTGTTTGGTTGTCTTAAGGCAGTGTTACCTTATTGGTCACTTTCGCTTTTATGGGTTTTTTATAGGCATATGATTGTAATGTTAACTGCTGCAACTGATAGTTTATGTTAAGTACCATTTGTTATGAACGCCCGTGTATGTTTTACATGCTTTTATTTCGAAGTTTTATGGAGTAAATAATTTTATGAGAATTTACCCTTTCGATATGCGGCTGTGGCGCAGTGGCATCCACCTCCGTGTAGATACACAATGTCGATTTCCTCGACAACGAGTCGCTGGCGAGGCTGCTCGAACTCGAGCCTGACGAGAACTTCATCGTATCGCCTCATTCAGTTTCTGGGCGGCACCAAATCCACCGATTTCATCAGGTGACGTCCAACTGCACTTTCGTGTGATGTTCCCGGCACATCACCCAAGTGCACCCCTCGATTTCCTCCAACCTCGCTTTTTGATGTCTTTGCGTGGTTAGCGAGCTTGCGTAAGTGACAGCACGTTTATGTGTGATCGAAGTCAGCAACGTACTTCCAAGGTTCTTCCCGTTGTCAGTGAACAACTGGAATGTCTAATCGTCTGGCTAGCCTGCAACAATGGAAGACCAAAATAAACAAATGTTTAATTTTTTAACTAAATTCGATCAAAAACTTAACGAAATCGTATTTTATTACTGATTGCTTCATGAACTTCACAGTGCATGAAATAGTATGCAATTCGAATGTTTAATTTATGGAAAGATAACTATTAACACGCGTTTTTGGGTTAAGTGGAGCGGAGAGAATAGAGACAACAAGTTTGTAGGTAGTTAAAATAAATACTGTAGTAGTAGGGTATGGTTTGTGCTCAATAGGGTGAGACGATATTTCATGCCAGAACACCGCCTGAAATTATATAAAGCCCAAGTCAGGCCGCATATGGAATACTGTTCTCATGCCACAGTGTTAAAATTCAAAGTCGGGCGGCTCGAATTATCGATAGTCAACGCCTTACTGTCCGACTTGACCCATTGAAACTGCGCAGAGATGTTGCGTCTCTGTGCATCTTCTACCGAATATCATGGGGAGTGTTCTGAGGAATTGTTCGGATTGATACCTGCTGCTGATTTTGCCACAAACTAAAGTTTCATCCCAATCATCTGGACAACCGTGCGTTTTTCTAAAGGCACTTTCTTCCACGCACAACCATTCTTTGGAATCAACTTCCAGCAGCAGTATTTCCGAACCGATACGACAACATAACCTTCAAGAAAAGAGTATATTCCTTTTTAAAAGGCCGGCAGCATACCTGCAATGCCGCTGGTGTTGTGGGTGATCATGGGCGGCGGTAGTCACTTACCATCAGGTGAGCCGCATGCTCGTTTGCCCCCTGTGTTGTAAAAAAAAAAAAAAAAATGGTTTACATTCAGGTGCGTGTGCAAGTGTGCAAGATTACGTATGTGTGTTAAAATGACCCACTTTTGATGATAATGACTAAATTGCAATAATCTAAAACGAGAAATTTAAGGAATAAACAAACAGATACATATCTATAAATTTATTTAAATTGTGTATCTTGTGTGTTTCATCATTATATTATCTGTTAAATGTCCACTGCTGAACATAGGCCTTCCCTTGGCGTATTTTACCAGTAGTGGCCATGCTAGTCTGGCAGGCTGATAACCGCAGTTAGGCTTTTGGTGATGTTTTAAGAGGAACACTGCTGCCCATTCTATAAAGTTCTATAAGGGCCTATTCTATGCCGGGACTAGACGGTATTGTGTATATTTATATTGGCACTGTATATGTTTATAATATATGGAATAAATTAAGTACTATTTTATGTTTTCTCAATTCATGAATGCACCGCCTGCCTATTTCTCTGTTTGCCCAACAGTTGCCTTGTAGAGAACACCATCCGGTATTGAGTCCGCTAAATATACGTACATGGAATGGTTTGATATAAAGAAATAAAAATCTACAGCAAACATTTTCATTACTTTTAGCTTTACAAAAATCTCTACGACACAATATCTAAGTTCAATATTTCAGCCATAAAGGTGTTGTTTTTTATATTAAGAGCAAAAAATTTTACTCTTAGAGAATATTAGTGCAATACTTTCATACACGCTATAATACCAACCTCACTAAAATGTATAGAACAATTTAAAAGTTACACAAACAAATATAGCACACGTACGAAGTCGGTGCGAGTCGTCTAGTATTATATAAAATCAAATAATCGAAGAAAATAAATGTTGTGACCAGTAATGTTATTTTAATTGATATAACAGTTGTTATCTTTAATATTGTTATTATCACATTTGAGTTCAGTTAATCGAATAAAAGTGAGACGATCACGATTATTAGTGATACGACGATAATCCCAGTTCTAAATATCAGTTAGTCGTGCAATTTAAAGAGAATCAGATAAACTATATGGAAACGTTTCGTATTACAAAACGTGATTTTTTGCATTGCATTGAACTACTTTTAAATGATGTTGTAACAGTACAAGGACTGAGCAATTTAGATAAGAAACGATACTGATAGATTGATAGAAACCATTATGGGAAAGAGCGTAGGTATAATTATTATTACTATACGTCTATGTATGTGTCGTTTGTGATCTATGATAGATTTGCATTGCAATATTAAATACGTGCCTAGTAGGTGTCGTTTAAAGAAATAAAGATGTTGGTTACTGATAAAATCAAATCGTAGATAAGTAAAAAAAAAAAAAAAAATACGTCATTGACATAATTTCCAACTTCTAATATTTTTTTTTGTCTATGCTTTGACTCAGTTTTTTTTTTAAATGCCAACAATTACACTAATTGCCTGGTCATGAAGTTAAGATACTCTGCATGATAAAGAACCAGGTAATTAATATCTACGGGCACAATTCAAAACACCTAAACCCGAGCTAATTCAGAAAAGTTCGATTCCAAAATTGGTCCGACCGGAAATCAAACTCGGGATCTCATTAATGCAAAGTGATGCGCAGGGACTGCAGTACAAAGATCATCAACGTTTGAAATAGTTATTTTATTCTAGCACATATACTAGTACAATATACTTGCAGCGCCTTCTGATTTTTGGTTATGAAAATAACTTTTGCAACGAAATTTTAATAATAAAAACTAGATAATATTGTAATAATGTACATGGTCCCTAGACACTTTTGGTGTGTGTACATATTGTAATATTATTCATATACAGTGAACGCTCTATATAAACAGTTTATTTGAACCAATTTCAATAAAAAAAATATCTTATTGGGAAAAGTTGCTTACAGGAAAAAAAGGAGTATAAAAATACTTACCGTCTGGAAAATATTTTTACTTATTTCCTTTACTAAGCTCAGAAATAAAATAAAATATAAAGAATGTTGCTTATCGCGAGGTTGCTTATATAGAGCATTCGCTGTATATATAATTTATATATACAATTATTTCACACACAATAACGAGGTAAGTAGGTATGAGAGGACAAAACAAAAAAGAATGGTTTATAATGACATGGTAGTGGGATTTAATTAGGTGGTTAATGATTGGGCACTGCATACAGAGGATGGTAGTGACTTCCGTTTGTAATCGTACGGTGTGCACAGCGAAGGATTTAGAGTAAAACGAAGAGTTGTGAGAAGGAATTTTAAATTCTAAAGACATAGGTAATAGAATTGGTAATCTTTTTTTTCTTTTTGAAGCTATGAGGAGTTTTAAGTTCTAATAATCAACAACATCAGCTCAATTTACATCTAAAGAATAGTATACATAGGTAGTAGAATTGGTAACCTTTTCTTTTTTTCTTTTTGAAGTAATTTAAAAAAATACTGAGTAATTCAATTAGTTATATTTTCTATATAGATGACGTAGAGAAAGATGTGTATCTTATATACTTTTATCATAATGAGATAAATAGTATGATAACGGTTGATGTTCACTAACGGAACGATAATTCAAAAGTATTTTATGAGATTTTATAAGATAAAAAGAGTCATAGATAATATAAGCTTTAAGGTTGATTTTTTAAGGATACCTTTCGTGGTTGTCCATGCAATTATTGTAACAAGTGTTATAAACAGTATAAATGAAATTTCGACCTTAACGCATAGTTATTATGTTACTCTTATTTTATGAATTTATATTCTTTTTACCATACTATTCGATATATCGTTAGTTTTGGTTATAATATGTCTGATAACAAAGTTATCTCCAAACCACACACTAGAGAGATGTCAATCATCAGATAAAATGGAAAAGTCACGATAAATAATACAAAAACTAAAAGAAAATTTTAATATTATGTAATTACGTTACTGACTATAGTAGTCTAGTGGAACTAATTTTAAATTTTCCTAACTCAATCTATTATATAATAATGATTCAGAATGAGCTTTAGAATAATAATTTCAAGGTAATATCAAATTGAATTTAAAACCGATATCAATCTTGACAAAATTACTTAATTTTATGAAATAAAAGTATTATCGAAACCAAATCAAAATTGGTAAAGAATTTCAATACACAAAGAAGTCTGTTTGAAAACAATTTTTACAAACAATCGTTTATAACCTTTAGGCTTATCATCAGAGTTTATTCCAGACAAATCAACCGAGTCCAAATACAATTGATTGATCATGCGTAGTTTACAAGTACCTATGGCTATCTTTCGTCTTCATCATCAGACCAACTCGATGGTACCATAGTATTAAATTGTACTTGAACTTTACTACTATAAGTAGAAATAAATAACTATAAGCAATCCAAATTTCAGCAAAATCGGACGCCAGCAAATGGTTAAAAAATTTATTGCAAATTTGGAACGAAAAGTCTTAAATATATTGTATTTAATCAAATTAAAATAAAAGCTTGTAAAAGAAAACAATCTAATAAGGAATCTCCTTTTTGATGTCGTTCGAAAACTCGATTAAAAAGTCAGTCAAACAAACAATTTATTACACTATTGTACATAATACATTGCACACGTGTACGCTGCTGTACGACGGCTTTGTTCAACGCCCAGTTTACCGTAAATTTAAGATTTCAAGCAACTCGTGGCTTGTAAAACATTGTGACTCACCATTTCCTTGTGGGCTTGCATCAAATTTAAATGACTTCGGACACAACGCCATTGTTATAGGTGTTATTTCGATTTTACAAACGATAGCGTTAAGTTTGTTATGGTTTTTGATAACAACAACAGTTACGTAATAGCTCGTGGGATGACCATGTTACCTAATATATCGGGACAATAAGTTCATTGTGCTGTGAAACTTATAAAATTAGATTCGCTATCACTCGACAAGCATTAAATAGGTATTTAAGTGTAGAGGCATACGTAGACACGGGATAGTTTTTCTTTCTGTACATGCAAAATTGTTTTTCTTCGTGTAAGTCGCGTATTACCCTAGAAAGACAGAAATATCGCAAATTATTAATTATCTGTGCTGGCTTTTGGTATTTCCAAAACTCAACGGAGTACATCTTCTATTAGACAATTGATAAGCGATTTTACCTTTACAAACCGTTTGTAAATATGTTTGATTCTTTGTTGCTCAATTGCTCTTAAACTATTTAAACAGATATAAATGAAATTACCAAAACG